TTCTTTGGGGTTCTTGGGATTAAAATACATGATATCGCCAGTATCTCCTCAAGCCAGTAGCCCTAGGGGATTCTTTTTTCTTTTTTTTTCTTGGTAGCAAGGATTAAACTCCGGACCTTGCACTTGCAAGGCAGGCAGCAGAACCACTGAGCTGAATCCCTGGCCCCTACGGAATTTCTTTCTATCACATCGTTGTATATACCTGCCAGTAATTTATTAAAATTACTATTTAAGTGTTTTAAGCAGTTTTTATTTGCTCTATGTAAACTGATGTCTAAGATGGTTTTCTCTGTCCTCTAGAGTCTCCTGACCTGGGGATGGTGCTTCCTTTGCCCCTCTTCCTTTTGCTGATGGGTACAGAAGAAGTTGAACATTTTACTTTGTTCAATTTGATTTTGTAAAGACAGGAGTGATGGCTTCCAACTTCTTTAACAAGTCAACTGAAACCAGAAGTTCTAAATAATATTTAGGTTCTTTTACAATTATTAGATTTTACTCTAAAGATCTGTTGGATGCATATCAAATATTGTACCCATGGTGATTCTTATTCTCTTCTCAAAAATTCGTAAACATTCAACAAAATGTTGCTTAATAAGGATATTTATTTCCATGAATGTAATCTCCAAAGAGCTATCATATTCTTTTTGTAAATACTGTACCCATGGCAACTCTTATTATATTCTCAAATATACTTTTGCACTCAAAAATGTTATCTAATGGTAACTTTTATCCCTCAAATTGCAATCTTTAAGAAGCTATCAGCATCTTTTTTGGAATAAAATTTTGGTCACTGTTTATAAGGAAGAGGAAATTAATAAACAAAAATCATTTCATCGTTGAGACTTTGAGATTTTAATCTTTCCATAGTTGCAAATAACTAAGTAAAAAGATTACCTAAAATAATTTGTTTGAGCCTTTACAAGGACATATGCTATTGTACTTTATTTTGAAAAATTATTATTATATAACTATTTTTTATTTCCTTTCATCTAAAAATATACTACTGACACAAGTCAAGTAACAGTACAAAGAAGAAAAGAATGAAAAATTCAACCGATGACACGTTGAGATTTATCATAAAAAATCAAGATTATTTGCAATTTATCATGGTAACTTTACTGTTACCTGTGTTTCCATAATAAGTCAAACATACAGTTTTCTTTCTAAAATTCATGTCCAATAAAAAATTTTGACAAAGGTCCATGTTATTTTTATTTTGGAAATACTATGCAATATATGATTCTCTGTAGTTATCTGAAAAATAATAAGGCCATTCTATAATTCAACTCTATTACACATATCCTTAACATAAAATCCAGCACTTATAAATTATTTATATTATTTATTCTATATTAATGACTATATTATCTTTCTGCAGTGTTCATTTTTAAGTAAATATTGAAACATAGTGGAATATGCTGTGTTAAATATTTCCATGTATTATTTTATTTATATTATTAATCACTACAAATCTGTCTTTGTTTTTTCAAAACAATACTGTGGATTGAACATTAGATAAACTAATTCATAAGTGGCTTTTTCCACATCTTTTTATCTGACTTAATTTTTCATATAAATATATATATGTATATATACATATAAATTATCTGCTTATATATCCTATCAGCTATACCATTGAAAACATGGGAGTCAACAATTTTGTTTCATCTTATTTTATCTATTTATTTATGTATTTCGGTACCGGGGATTGAATTTGGGTCCTTGTACTTTTAAGGCAGGCCACTGAACCATTGAGCTAAATCCCCAGCCAGAGTCAACAATTTTAAAATATTGTTTTGTCTGTATGATTTTATCTATAGATAGACATACACTGTATTCAAATAAGTACATTCAATTTAACAGGATAGTTAGTTATATTCTGAGCCATAAAATGAGTGTCACAAATGTAAAAGAAATCAAAATGTCTCCTGTTCACAGAGAATTAACTTAAAAGTCAATAACAGAAAAATATCTGAGAAATCCAGAAATATTTGAAAGCTAAATGACAAACTTTAACCTCACAGATACTTTAAAGAACAAAGAAAAGTATTTTTAAGTGGGTGAAAATGCAAGCACCACACATAGAAACGCAAGGCATAACACTAACGCAGTAATTACAGGGAAATTTTAACCACTAAAAATTTAATTCAGCCTGGCCTTGAACTCACTATTTAGCCTAGGCTGACCTAGAATTCACTGCAATTCTTCTAACTGTGCCTCTTTAGCACTGGGATTACAGGTGTGCAGCATTATACCAGTCTCACAATATGTAACACCCACACTAAAAATGGGGAAAATATTTGAGCAGGCAATTTACTATAGAAGACATGTTGATAAAAAATCCACACCTGAAAGATACTTAGCACCATTAATCATTAAAGAAGATCAAACTCTAACTACAGGGCAACAGCACTACATTACTATTAGTACAGCTTAATTTAAGAAAGACTGCCCAAATCAAATGTGGGCAAGAACTGGAATTCGCTCATGCTGTGGGAATATAAAATGCTACATCCATTTGCAAAAACAGTTTGGCAATCTCTTAAAAAGGTTAGTGTACACCTATGCAATTATTTATGAAGAGAAAAGGAAGCATGTGTCCATATAAAAGGTTATATGTGAATGTTGATATCAACCTTATTTATAATAGACAAAACCAGGAAACAACTTCAACATCTATCATCAGATGAAAACATACACAAAAGGTTTTATATTCATATAATAGAATACCATTCTGCAACAAAACAAATGAGGTTTAGATACACAAATGGGGTATATTTCAAATTAATTATATTAAATAAATTAAGACAACATCGGTGCATAATGAATGATTTGTATTTGTATTCAGAGCTAGAAAAAACAGGCTAGTCTTTAGTAAACAAAACCCAAATTGTGTAGGAATGAAACATTTGTAACTAGGTGTGCAAAGATGAGACTGTAGACATGAAAAACCTTTAAGTGTAATGTATATATTTATTATTTTAATTGTGGTCATGGTTTAATGAACATATGTATGTGCCCAAACATACACACTTTTGTTTAGTTATGGCTATTGTGTGGAAATAAATATTTATAAAACATCACTGCAAGCATCTATCTTCAGTAAGAAACAATATATGGTAATGTGAAAAAGAAAGAAAAAGTATCATCAAATGTATGGTGATCAGTGATTTTTTTCTTTCTAAATTTACTGTGCTTATATAATTTCACATTTATCAGTTAATTTATTATTTTTAGCAAACTATACTCTGCTCCTTGAAACTTTCATAATTTTATATCTTTGGCATGTTTTTAATTTGTCTTTAACTTTCTTTATCTTGAAGTCTCGTTTCTCTCCATTTTTTATTCTTTTATTTTTTAAATTAAATGCGTATTTTCATTACAGTTTTGTTTAGCGAGATGCATGTTTGGGGATTTGTGTCTATTCCCTGGAAATTTTACTTTATTTGTGTTTTACATGCTTTATTTTCTCCCTCAATCTTTTTTTACTGTTTAACCTTTGTTTTTCTGTTTCTAGATATTAGCAGATCTATTTTCCTGACATTGTGGGAAGTAAATTATGTTTGATCCTATTCTTTCTATTCTGAGATCTGTCTTCCCTTCTGAGTTAGATTTGAGCTTATCTTTTTTTCAGGAAGTTTGTAACAGGAGAGAGGGACTTAATTGGACTTACATAAATTCTAAAAGGAATTGTGTTTGACTTTCATTTCCAGATTTTCAACTTCCTGTATCATGCTTCATTTCATCTGTGGTAGCTAGGGGCTGGGATGAGTGGTGATGCAGAGTTTTGTAAAGTCCACTGAGCTTTAAAATTAGAATTTTTAATTCAACTAAATATTAATTCAACTTAATATTTTAATGAAACTTAATATTTTGTAACATATATTTCAATCGGAGACCATCATCCTCAGTTGTCACATGTTTAAAATAATTTTCAAATGAAGTGTTTATTTCCATTGTCGTCAAGAAGGATAAATTTTTGGAAATTTATGCAAAGTCTAAGGATCATTTAGACTCCGTTTTATGACTTTGGGGAAAAGAGGGAGAGTAATGTTGTGCATAATCTGTTATCTTTTCAATTTCATTGTTTTGAGTTTATGGCAACAAATGTTGTATATATTTTTATTTATAGTGGTATATATTGTGGATATTTGGGTTCTTTTGGGGGAAATATTTTATTAGGCACAATTTCATCATCTCCATCTATAGCCATAAATTGCAGAGATAAATTCTAAAAACAAATATATTTGCATTATTCAATTACCTCAGGGAATCTACTACTATAACAATTTCTTGTAAAAACTGTGGTTTTTCACACACAAAATGGTTTGATCTTTAACCTAAGAGAACAAATCTTTGTCACTATTCTGGGTGGATAGATTTATTAAGTGAAATTAATACTCTAAATCTTTAAGAGTTAAGATGGAGTTAGTTAGGTAGTATCTTCACTTAGCTATCATTTTAAATTTTTTTTTGTTGTGAAGAAGTGACTGAAGTCATGTTAGACAGAAATTGGCAGAGAAAAGTATTTGATAGAGAAAGTGGTAAGAGGCCATGACCAGAGATTGCAAAGTCCTAAGGAAGGTGCCTAACACTAATATTTTTATTTGATTGCATCAGCCCTAAATAGCACACATTCTGTTCATTGAAATTGCAATGTACACCACTCTCACTGTCTTAAAAGTTGTAGAGCATGAAAAAATAGAGTTAGATATTTCCAGTGCAAGTGGATACTTGACTCTATTCAGAAACTAACACTATTCACATATATCTTATATCTTATATCTTATATCTGAGAGATTTTAAATAAATAGTTTTCCTTTGTCTTCATAATTGATGGTAATATGCTTTTGCAAATATAACTGGTGAATATAATGAATTAATATGATAAATTTGCTATATAATGACTTCAATAAAACTTTTGTTATGATCTTAAAAGTTATGCATATCAATTATTAGCTTATTATCATAGGGTAATTAAATTTTGGACAATGGGTGTTTAATATTTTTATTTCATGAGAGTTCTACTTGTCTCAGTGCTGAGGAATGCATCCCTTTCCTCACTGGGAAATTTGGTGTTGGAACTACTTGATTTTTTTGAGAATACCTTATGTGCATGTTGATTCCAAGTTAGGATTAAGAGTAATGAGTTTGAAATCTTTTCTGGAAGATTATTTGAAGACGTGTTTATCACAGATCTGGAAGCTAGGAGTCCACAATCAAGTGTCTACAGAGGTGATGTACAGTGGAAGCCAACTTTTTGGTTTGGATGTGATGACTTCTTCATTTTATCCTCACATAGCACTGAGCAGAGAGAAAGAAAATCAGCTTCCTTATGTCTTTTCTTCTGGTCTTGTCTTATACAAAATATGTTTCAACATCATGCTATAGACACTTCCTGAAAGCCTCATCTCCCAATACTATCACATCAAGGGTTTAGATTCAACATTTTAATTTTGAGGGGCACAAGTATTCAATTTTTACAAGATTCAGAGATCGTCTTTAGGCCACCCTTGTCAATCTAATGTTCTCATGGTTAGTGGCAACTTAAGGTCCTTCCCTTAAAGTATTTTTTCCTTTTCACTCAGAATGTAAATTAGACTTTTACAAATAAACTACTGGGTGTTGGATTTATGATTTCTTATGAAATTTATACAACTATCCCATGAGGCCTATCTAGGTATCTTGAGTTTTGGATATAAATTTTCAAATTACCAAAATGAAGACTTCCTGAAATGAGCCTTTCCTGATTCATTCACTACTTTATTCTGCATGTTGAATTGCCTGTCTAATAATAAGGATTTTAAAATTATTGAAATAATTAATGAAGGAATGAGGCTTATTAAAGTTCAGTAATTTCTGCAAAATTTCAGTTAATATGTAGAATATAAATTTCATCCAGAGCTTTCATTTAGATTGTGGGTATTCCATGATTCACATTCATAATAATAAAGAGCAGGAAACAACAAAATTACAAAGAATATAATGTTTTATGGATGAGATGCTGGAGAAAGAAATGAATTATTTGAAGGATGTACTGAAAGGATAGGACATCTTCATATACATATATATATAT